CCCCCCCACAGCTCCTATCCTAACCCTAACCCGTAACTCTACCCCCCCACAGCTCCTTCTGTAGTCCCTCTATCTCTATCTCTATCTCACCACTGACTCTGATCAGTGTTTCTCCTCTGGATAGCTTATTGTCATAGTGATAAATGTAATATTGTCTACTCTGTAAGTCACTTTGGATAAAAGCGTCTGCCAAATGCATAAACATAAACGAACATAATTGTCTTCTCCAGTGCTAGGCATCCTGAACAGTCCCTTCAGTAGCATCCTGGGGAAACCTCAGGGCTACCTGCCCCACGAGTCCATGAGCACGAACTCGCCTTTCAGCTCACTAAATCAATGTCGGGCTGTAAATTCAGCACAAACTATTTTTGTTTTGCTGACTCAGTGATTAAAAAAACAAAAAAACATTTAAGATGGGCAACTTTAAAACACTCGTCCTGGTTATGTGACTTGTTGGTGGACAAATTAATCCAGTTCTGTGGGCCCAGACATGTTTTTCTGTTTTTATCAAGCCAAATATCACCTAAACTGGAATTGTCACTAAATCAATGTCGGACTGTAAATTCAGCACAAACTATTTTTGTTTTGCTGACTCAGTGATTTAAAAAAAAAAACAAAAAAAAAATACATTTAAGATGGGGCAACTTTAAAACACTCGTCCTGGTTATGTGACTTGTTGGTGGACAGATGAGTCCAGTTGTTTGGGCCCAGACATGTTTTTCTGTCTTTATCAAGCCAAATATCTCCTAAACTGGAATTTTCCTCTCCAGTGCTAGGCATCCTGAACAGTCCCTTCAGTAGCATCCTGGGGAAGCCTCAGGGCTACCTGCCCCACGAGTCCATGAGCATGACGGCGGACTTCCTGGAGAAGTTCCCGGGCATGGCCCGCATGGCCACCCGCCTGGACTCCAGCTCCTTCCTGGACTCCCGCTCCAGCAGCCCCGAGGACTCTGAGACCAGCGGGTTCAGCTCCGGGTCCGACCACCTCTGCGACATGCTGGTAAGAGGAAGGCTTTTACTCTCTTTTTCACCTGTTTATGTCAAGTGGGAAAAGGTCACAAGCAAGTTATGGTGCAAATTTTGCCATCTTGAATCATTGACTGGCAGCCATTTTCAGAACAGTCCCATACTGCCAGTTTTTTTGAGCATTTTGACTGATTTTTCAAGAGCCACAGAATAGTTTGTGCTATGACTATGTAAACACCGAGCACATCAAAAGAAAGAGTAGACTCGGAATAAGGTTTATTGCCAAGTAGGTTTTTAGTCTTACAAGGAAGTTGCCTTGGTGTTTGGTGCACAACACTGCTATGAGAAGCAAGAAATAAAATGTAGAAATAAAAATATAGAACAGAAATGATAAAACTGAAAAATACAATCTTTAAAAATATAGATCCTAATGTACAAATGAACAATCTTTAAAAATATAGATTAGACTCTCTTCTTTCATCAGGAAAAAAAAATTGTTTCTACCTTATTCCGTTCTTCCTGGACTTGCGTCTCACCGGCGACATGTTCTCTCATAGAACCGTTACCTTTTTCTTATTTGCCTACAGTCTATGCTCATCTCCCATCAAAAGTGGCACTGCCCCCTAGAGGGTCAATTTGTTACTACATACTCTGTCTAGAAGCCGATATTTACGGACAAGCTTTAGCAGATCGTCCCCCAGACACTCTCGTTGAAAAACATAAGACGTCTATAGACTTCTTTGGCAGCCAATGAGTTAATGGGTTTAGTGCACAGCCAACTGGATTAAATGGCTTTTTCCCCCTCCTATACTACACAAAAATGGGGAATATACAATTCTATTGAGCTTCAGTTGCACAGAACAATCAGATTCTGACTAAAACATTAGATTTTATGCATTTCAATGGAGCTCTTTTGCTCTCCTGACTGGTTTTCAAAGTATCTACAGGAAGTGTTTAGTTTCTCAAATGGCAGATTGACGTCAGTAGTCACTTATTTTTCTCAGTTAACCCTTTAAATTCTGATCCAAGAATAAAACAAAACAGAAAATGACTTTGTTTTTGTTTGAAGTCTTTATTTTGCCTTTTACCAAAATATGTAAAGGGTAAAAAACAAATGCATTTTTAATTTATTACTATGCGATAAGTCAAGATTATTTTTCGTCTAGTCTTCTGCCCCCTGTTATCAGGTGTATCTGATTGTGTACAATAGGATTTTGAGCAAAGTTTTTACCATTAAATTATGCAAACGGTGAAATTCATAAAATTAATTTTATGCAAATCAGATTTGTAAGTAACTTACTGTGTATTTAACTTATCATTGGTGGTCTCCTTAACCCCTAAGTGTCTGCACCTGTCTTTCCTCTTTAGTCCACCTTGTGGAAATACATTTTTGTGTTTATTTGATTCCTATTCAAGACACTTAGGATAAGATAAGAATAAAATAAGAATAACTATAGTGTAACTATAGGTAGATAAGATAAGAATAAAATAAGAATAACTATAGTGTTACTATAGGCGGCTACAGATTTGTTTAACATTTTTGGTTGGTGGTGTGCCTTGAGATTTTTTCTTTGAAAAAATGTACCTTGGCTCAAAGGTTGAAAAACACTGGTATAGAGCACCCCTTCTCTAAATGAATCTCTGGTGATGCACAATGTGGAGGAACTTCCTAAAGACTCACTCTGACTTCTCAGTGCTTGCTCTCTCTTTTGTGTAGAGGTTCAACAACAAAAAAGTTTTCAAAAAGGAAAAAAAGAACATGTTTACTGTTGTGTAATATTTACCTAGCTCCATTTTTGTAGATTTATTCAAATAAACACTGGTATAGTTTTTTTTGTACAATGTGGAGGAACTTTTAAAGATTCACTCTGACTTCTCAGTGCTTGGTCTCCTTAACCCCTAAGTGTCTGCACCTCTCTTTCCTCTTTAGTCCACCTTGCGGAAATACATTTTTGTGTTTATTTGATTCCTATTCAAGACACTTAGGATAAGATGAGAATAACTATAGTCTTTCCTCTTTAGTCCACCTTGCGGATTTCCCCCCCCCTGCCCTACCTGGCGTCGAACATGCAGAAGGACCTCCTGCGCCTGGGTTCCCGGCTGGACCCGCAGGACTCCAGCTCCCCGCTGACCCCCCCCTCCAGCGCCAGCCCCGGGTCCTCCTCCCTGTCCCGCCGCTGGCGAGCCGGCTCCCCCTGGCCCGGGTCCGACGCGCTGGACCCGGAGGAGACGTTCAGCATCGAGAGGGAGGCGCGCCTGCACAGGCAGGCCGCAGGTAGGAGAACGGGGGCATTAGATAGAGGCCTATTGGTGCCATAAGATAGAGGCCTATTGGTGCCAT